CCATTATCCATCATCCTAATCCATGGCATCCATCATCCATCCATCATCCATCCAATCCATCCATTCATCCATCTATCCATCCACATCCATCATCATCATCCATCCATCCATCCATCCATCCATCCATTATCCATCCATCCATCCATCCCATACCATCCATCATCCATCCATCCATCAATCCATCCCAATCATCATCATGCATCCAATCATCATCCATCATCACATCCATCCATCATCATCCATCCATTCATCCATCATCCCATCCTTCATTCCATCCATCCATCATCATCATCCATCCATCCATCCATCCATCCATCCATCATCATCATTATGCATGCATCCATCCATTCATCCATCATCATCATCCATCCATCCATCCATCCATCCACCATCATCCATCCATCCATCCATCCATCCATGCCATCCTTCCATCCATCTTACATCCATTCCGATCTTTATCATCCATCCATCCATCCATCACTGCCGATCCATCCCATCCACATCCATCCTTCCTTCATCATCATCCATCCATCCATCCATCCCTTCATCCATTCCATCAATCCATCCATCTTCTCCAATCCATCCATCATCCATCCATCCCATCAATCATCATCATCATCATCATCCATTCCATTCATCATCCTCATCCATCCATCATCCCTTCATCATCATCATCCATCATCATCCACCATCCATCATACATCCATCCTCAATTCCATCCATCATCCATCCATCCATCCATCCATCCATCCATCCACCATCCATCCATCCTCCATTCATCCATCCCATCATCAATCCATCCATCCATCCATCCTCATCATCATCCTCAATCATTCATCATCATCATCATCATCCCATCCATTCATCAATCCTCTCCATCAATCCATCCATCATCCATCCAATCCATCCATCATCATCCATCCAAAATCATACATCCATCCATCCATCCATCCCATCCATCATCATCCATCCATCCATCCATCCATACAATCATCGTATCATCATCATCAATCATATCATCAATCATCATCATCATCATCATCCATCCCTCCATCATCCACCATCCATCCATACATCCATCATCCATCCATCCATCCATACATCATCATCCATCCATCCATCCATCCATCATCCATCCATCCAGTCCATCCATACCATCCATCCAATCCATCCATCCATCCAACCTCCCATCATTCATCATCATCCATCCATCCATTATCCATCCAATTCCCTCATCCATCCAATCATCCAAATCCCATCCCATTCCATCCACCATCCATCATCATCCATCCATCCAGTCCATCATTCCCATCCATCCATCTCCATCCATCATCCATCCACCCATCCATCATCCATCCATCCATCCATCCATCCATCTCCCATCCATCCATCCCATCATCCATCCAGCCATCATCCATAATCATCATCCATCCATCCATCCATCCACCATCCCATCCATCATCCATCCATCCATCCATCCATCCATCCACCATCCATCCATCCATCCATCATCCATCCATCATCCATCCATTCATCCATCATCTTCATCCATCCAAGACCATCATCATCATCATCCATACATCCAGTGTCATTATCCATCCACCCATCCATCATCCTTTCATCATCATCAACCTGCCATCATCATCCAACCAATCCATCCATCCATTATCCATCCATCCATCCATCCATCCATCATCATCATCATGCATCCATCCATCCATCCATCATTCATCCATCCATTCATCCATCATCCATCCATCATCCATCCATACATCATCATCATCCATCCATCCATCATCATCATCATCCATCCATCCATCCATCATCATCATTATCATCCATCCATCCATCCATCCATCATCATCCATCCATCCATCCATCCTCCATCATCATCATCAATCCTCCATCAATCCATTCCATCTATATCCATCCACCATCATCATCCTCCATCCATCCATCCTCATCATCCACTCCATCCCATCCATACATCATCCATCCATCCATACATCCTATTCATCCTTCATCATCATCCATCCAACCATCCATCATCATCATCCATCATCCAGCCATCCATTATCCATCCTCCATCCATCCATCATCTTCATCATCCATCCATCCATCCATTCATCCATCATTTCATCCCAATCCAAGCCATCAATCATCATCATCCATCCATCCAGTCCATCCATCCCATTTATCCAATCCATCCATCATCCATCCATCATCACATCCACCATCATTCCATCCATCCATCCATCATCATCATGCATCCATCCATCCATCCATCATCCTCATCATCCATCCATTCATCCTCATCCATCCATCATCCATCCATCAGCCATCCATCCATCATCATCATAAGTCATCATCATCATCATCAATCATCCCATCATCCATCCATCCATCCATCATCATCCATCCATCCATCCATCCATCCATCCATCCATCATCATCCATCCATCCATCCATCCATCCATCCATCATCAATCCATCCATTCATCCATCATCCATCCATCCATCATTATCATCCATCCATCGATCCATCCATCCACCAGCCATCCATCCATCCATCATCCATCCATCCATCATCATCATCCATCCATCCATCCATCCATCCATCATCCATCCATCATCCATCCATCCATCCATCATCCATCCATCCATCCATCCATCCATCATCATCATCATCATCATCATCATCATCATCATCATCCATTCATTCATCAATCCATCATCCATCCATTTATCATCATCATCCATCCATCCATCCACCATCCATCATCCATCCATCCATCCATCCATCCATCATCCATCCATCCATCCATCCATCCACCATCCATCCATCCATCCATCCATCCATCCATCATCCATCCATCCATCCATCATCATCATCATCATCATCCATCCATTCATCAATCCATCATCCATCCATCCATCCATCATCCATCCATCCATCCATCCATCCAACATCCATACATCCATCCATCCATCCATCCATCATCATCATCATCATCATCCATCCATCCATCATCCATCCATCCATCCATCCATCCATCATCATCATCATCATCATCATCCATCCATCCATCCACCATCCATCCATCCACCATCCATCCATCCATCCATCCATCCATCATCCATCCATCCATCCATCACCCATCCATCCATCCATCATCCATCCATCCATCCATCATCCATCCATCCATCCATCCATCCATCCATCCACCATCCATCCATCCATCCATTCATCCATCATCATCATCCATCCAACCATCCATCATCATCATCCATCCATCCATCCATCCATCCATTATCCATCCATCCATCCATCATCCATCCATCATCCATCCATCCATCCATCCATCCATCCATTCATCCATCATCATCATCCATCCAACCATCCATCATCATCATCCATCCATCCATTCATCCATCATCATCATCCATCCAACCATCCATCATCATCATCCATCCATCCATCCATTATCCATCCATCCATCCATCCATCATCCATCCATCATCCATCCATCCATCCATCCATCCATTCATCCATCATCATCATCCATCCATCCATCCATCCATCATCATCATCCATCCATCCATCCATCGATCCATCATCATCCATCCATCCATCCATCCATCATCATCATCCATCCATCCATCCATCCATCCATCATCCATCCATCCATCCATCCGTCATCCATCCATCCATCCATCCATCCATCATCAGCATCATCATCATCATCATCATCATCATCATCATCATCATCCATCCATTCATCAATCCATCATCCATCCATCCATCCATCTGTCCATCCATCATCATCATCCATCCATCCATCCATCCACCATCCATCATCCATCCATCCACCATCCATCCATCCATCCACCATCATCCATCCATCCATCCATCCATCATCCATCATCCATCCATCCATCATCATCATCATCATCCATCCATCCATCCATCATCCATCCATCCACCATCCATCCATCCATCCATCCATCATCATCATCCATCCATTCATCAATCCATCATCCATCCATCCATCCATCCATCCATCATCATCATCCATCCATCCATCCATCCATCCATCCACCATCCATCATCCATCCATCCATCCACCATCCATCCATCCATCATCCATTTATCATCCATCCATCCATCCATCCATCATCCATCCATCCATCCATCCAACATCCATACATCCATCCATCCATCCATCATCATCATCACCCATCCATCCATCATCCATCCATCCATCCATCATCATCATCATCATCATCATCATCCATCCATCCATCCATCATCATCATCATCATCATCCATCCATCCATCATCATCATCATCATCATCATCACCATCATCATCATCATCATCATCCATCCATCATCATCATCATCATCCATCCATCCATCCATCCATCATCATCCATCCATCCATCCATTATCATCATCATCATCATCCGTCCATCCATCCATCATCATCATCATCATCATCATCATCATCCATCCATCATCATCATCCATCCATCATCATCATAATCATCCATCCATCATCATCATCATCCATTCATCCATCCATCCATCCATCCATCATCATCATCATCATCATCCATCCATCATTTTATGTTATTATTCAACATGAGGCTCTCAGCCCAGAAAACAACAGAAGGAAACAGCAGCAGAGGTTCATTCCTTTATTATTAATCCATCCTTCATTCCCAGAAAAGTCCAACAGAACAAAAAACCGATTTCCTTCATTTATTCGCCGGATTTATCTAATTTCACAATAAAACACAATAATCACAGTAAATCGACCGTTTGATGATCACACCAGGATCTAAAAGAAAATAAAAGAAAACCAGCAGAGTCAGTTCAACCTCCTCAGAAACATTCAAAGATCTGATTCTGGCTGAAGTTTCAGGATTTATCACCTGAATAACATGTAAACATTAAAGCTTCAGAGTCTTTATTCTGATCTCAGAGCTCAGCAGGGAGGAAAAAGGAAACGTTTTATTCTCATGGTTATAGGATGTCAGGGATAAATAAGGATTGTGCAGAGATCAGCTAAAACCCTCATGAGAGAACAAAGAAAGAGAAGACGGCCGGCGGGACGGACAGCAGCAGAGGGAGCGACATGGAGACAAAGGTCGCTGCTCCGGTTGAACCCTGGAAGTTGATGAATCCTGGTTGGTTGGTGCTGATCTGGTTGTTGATCCAGCTCTGGTATTGTGACACTCGGGCGTAAACTCCTGGGAAGTCAGGCTCGGCACAGCCTCTGCCAAAACTCACTATCCCAGCCTGGACCCACACCGAACCATTCTTGGTCACCAGAGGTCCACCAGAGTCTCCCTGCACACAGAGATCATTCATCACACCAGAAACTTCTCCTGCATAGCTCTGACATCAGGGTTAGGGTTAGGTTAGGCAGGGGTTCCACCTGCCCCCCTCCCCCAGGGTCTACAGACTCCACCACCACAAACATGCTGCATGAAAGACAGTAGAAGCCCAGGTGTCCTCTGGACGGCAGATCTGGACACCCAGGCAGCCCCATGGTTCTCCTCAGCATACATTAACAGGAAGCAGAGGAGATGTAGACTGTCTGGCTAATCCAGACAGAAACAATGATGCTGTTCATCTTCTTCTGCCTGTTCATCCCTCCTCATCTCTATCATTCCAATTTAGATAAAATCACTGTCATCCTATTTAGCTGTCCAATGTTTTCATCCAACTTATCCTCTAAATCTATCCAATCTGAGAATATCCTCCTTATTGTCAGGTTTTCCCTAGTTACCTTTGATCCACTCATCCTCCCTGCCTCTTTTAGAACCTTCATCCCTGTCATCCTTCCACCCTTTTTAGAACCTTCATCCCCCTCATCCTTCCACCCTTTTTTAGAACCTTCATCCCCCTCATCCTTCCACCCTTTTTTTTTTAGAACCTTCATCCCTGTCATCCTCCCAGTCTCTTTTAGAACCTTCATCCCTGTCATTCTCCCAGTCTCTTTTAGAACCTTCATCCATGTCATCCTCCCAGTCTCTTTTAGAACCTTCATCCCTGTCATCCTCCCAGTCTCTTTTAGAACCTTCATCCCTGTCATCCTCCCAGTCTCTTTTAGAACCTTCATCCCTGTCATCCTCCCAGTCTCTTTTAGAACCTTCATTCCCCTCATCCTTCAGCCCTTTTTTAGAACCTTCAGCCCTGTCATCCTCCCAGTCTCTTTTAGAACCTTCATCCCTATCATCCTTCCACCCTTTTTTAGAACCTTCATCCCACTCATCCTCCCTGCCTCTTTTAGAACCTTCATCCCTGTCATCCTCCCAGCCGCTTTTTACAACCTTCATCCCACTGATCCTCCCTGCCTCTTTTAAAACCTTCATCCCCCTCATCCTTCCACCCTTTTTTAGAACCTTCATCCCTGTCATCCTTCCACCCTTTTTTAGAACCTTCATCCCACTCATCCTCCCTGCCTCTTTTAGAACCGTCATCCCTGTCATCCTCCCAGTCTCTTTTAGAACCTCCACCCCCCTCATCCTCTCAGCCTTTTATAAACTCAATCCTCCCAGTCTCTTTATCTTTCATTTCATTTAGCCTAAATGGCTCTTTTATTTCTTTAATGCCTGTTTTCTACCCTGTCCCTCTTTAGAATCTTCCTTCCAGTGATTCTTCAGTTCCTCTTCCACTGCACCTCATCCCACTCATCCCTCTAGTCTTTTCTGGTAACCTTTTTTTTTCTCTTTAAAACATATTCTCCTCATCATTCTTCAGGACCTTTATCCCACTTATTAACCCAGTTGAATCTTTAGAGCCTTCATCCCACTCATCCTCTTAATAGCCAGAGGCCCTTCTTAGAGCTAAATGTAAGCAGTTGGTCAGTAGGTCTCCCTGGACATGACAGCCCAGTAAGGACACAGGTTGGGTCCAGTTGAGCTTTGAAGAGTGTCTTTAATGAGGAACAGGAGCTCACCTGACAGGAGTCCTTCCCTCCAGCAGACAGACCGGCGCAGACCATGTTGTCCGTTAAGGTGTTGTAGGATGAGGCACACCGACTGTTGGACACGATGGGAATATCTACTTCCTGCAGCGTCTCAGGGGCAGGAAGACTGACTGCAGAGGGAGAGAGAACGGACCCATCAATGAACCCCGAATCCAAGATTTACCGGAATGGTTCTGATCCAGATGGAAAACATAAGGTAATCATAAAACAGAGAACAGAGGCTCCTCAACTGATCAGCTGATCAGCTCCCTAGCAGAGCTGCATGTGGATTGAAACATCTGAGATCAATCCTCACCTCCGGTCTGGATGGTTCCCCAGCCAGTGACCCAGCAGTCCAGTCCGTCTGGGAAGGCGCTGCCCTCCGCAGCCAGACAGACGGGCTGGATGTAGTCGGTGAAGTCCACCGTAGAGTCCAGCTGCACCAGAGCGATGTCATTGTCAGATGATTTGGAGTCATAGTCTTCATGGACGATGATCCGTGAGGCTCCAAGTCTCAACTCGTTAGAGCTCAGGGGATTCTGCCGGTTGTGTCGGCCGAGGTAAATACTGACTCCAGAGGTGCTTGTGCTGAGGAAAACACAATAGGTTAAAGGATGGAGGTCACTGTCTATGGTGCTGAACAGGAAGAGCTTTTTATGTCACATGATCAGTGCTCACCTGGTAAAACAGTGAGCAGCAGATAGAACCCACTGGTTGTTGATCAGAGAGCCTCCACACAGTCCGTTCCTGATCTCCAGACTGGCCTGCCACGGCCACGCTCCTTCAGACGCATCCTGACCACCAACAATCCTGGAGTCAGTCTTAGAGTTCAGAGGAGCTCTTCCACAAACTGCAGGGGAAGATTAACGGATAAAATGAGCGGGTTAGAGAAAAGGAGCTCTGCTCTTTCAGAGCTTCATCCACCCTGCTGAAAAGATCAACCACGATAAAAGACCTTCAGTCTCATCCTCTCCATCCCTCCAGCCCGTTCCTACTCCTGCCATCAGACCACTTTCCCCTGACTTCCACACACAGTCTGTCTCTACCTCCCATTAGTACAGCTCCATCCCACTGTAACCCGGGTGTAAATCCCAGTGATTTTCCATTTACATGTTTAGATAATAGAGAAAGATTCCAGTGATCATTCTGTGTATGTTTTTTTCACTTCCATCCCCTCATTGCTACACAGCCAATTGCTGTTGGGTATCAGGGTCACATGTGCAACAGCCTATCAGTTAGGTATATTAGTCGGAGTGGGGAAGTTTGAAAGACTATGGCATGTTGGGAGAAGCAGAGCTGCAGGAGCTAACTACTAAGCCGAGATGACATGGGAAAAAAAACTGTTTGTGTTACATACAAACTATGGAATCGGTGAGTGTTTCTCCTGTGTGGCTTAATATTAGCTCATGATGTCTTTGAAGAACCCTATGTGAAAAATGAGGTGCCTTAAATATTTATTGAGCACTTGTTTGTATTAGTTGTTTTTACATTTCATGTTGACTAATTTATATAGTGCATATTTATTGGATTTTTCATGAATGTAATTTATATGGAACTTTATATTTATTGAATATGCATATTGATTGAAAGTTATTGTTTGGAATTATTTGTAGTGCAAAGAGTACCACTTACTGAATTTGTGTGCACACTAGAATGTTTTGATTTTATATATATATATATATATATATATATATATATATATATATATATATATATATATATATATATATATATATATATCAGATCAGATATCAGATATATCAGATCATCATTGAGAAAATGGTCCTGTTTTATTATTCAGGCCAGGTGTTGATGGCGAGCTGAAGGTCCAGGCCTAGAGCCCAAGAAAGATTGCACTTTGGGTGCACAAAGACTTTAGATCTCCTGCCAAGCTGGTAGGAGGCTCCTTGCAGCCAACGAACAATTTTGTTTCCACTCTGCTCTGACTTTTGTCCGTCCACGACCTGCACTGTACCAAGCACTTTAGAAGGAATTTGCTTGGGAACTTTAATCAACCCCAGCTTGGGGTGAAGGAACTGTGGTTTCATTAATTGTGGAATTTATTAATTTTGTTTTTCTTTTTCCTCTTTATTGTTTTGTTTTCTTTCTTTTTTTTCCTGCGCATTTTATATGGCCATTTGGATGATTCAGTGATGTTGTAAATATGTATAAAATTTTCCTCATTATAAATACAAAGCACTTCCAACTGCAAACTTCTAGTCTCTGTCTGCTGTTTCATGAGTCGTACCTATCTTCTGAGAACTAGCCTATTGACCTTATTTGTTATGATCCATTTGCATTAATTTAAAATATACTGTTTTTACAGATATGCTACACCACTCACCCCCCGCTTCACCCTCCTTTATTGCCTCTCTTAAACACTCCTGTCATTGCACCAACGTCCCCTAATATCCCTTTATTTATGCAACCAAAGAGAGGAAGACATGAGGCAAAGTTCAACAGGCCAGAACTCAAACCCGAAACCTCAGCATCCCTTTTTATCCCAATCATTATAAGATCTGTTTTATTTCTGACTCCTTCGCCATAAGAAGGCTGAATAAGAACCACTGAAGGTGAAACATTTACTAACTTGCTTTTCAATGCAGCCCTTCCAGTAACTGCTCATTAAGCTGTGATTAAGACTTAAAAAAAACAATAAAAACTCACCGTCAATCTGGGCGTCGCTTCCTGTAAGAGAAAGAGCAGAAAGAGTTAGAAACCAGTTCTGACCCGACTGGTTTGTCCTCCGTTTAGTTCTGCCCCCCAGGATAAAAACAATTTTGACTACCGAGAAAATCAACAAAGCTGAAATGGAAAACATCAGCTTAGACCAGAACCAGTTTCCATCCTGATATAAAAACCCGACCACTTCCTGTGGGTTTGATTTCAGTGGCAGCCGGCCAATAGAGGGCGCCACCCCCACCCACTCAATGGCCCTGATTAACCCTTAAAAAAGTATATATATATTTCAAAATATATAGATATATATATTTTAGATGTGCATGATAAAATGCAATCTTTAATGACTGTCAGGGTTTGGTTGCTCGAGGACCCAAATGCAGGAATAAGTTTTTGCAGATTTATTTAAATCCCAAAGGTAGAGACTGACATTTTTTCGGGAATCCCACGGGTCACGGGATTCCCGTGGGATGGGAGTCAGTATTAGTAACAATCACGGGATTGGGACGGTACAGGATTAAACATTAACGGGAGCAGACGGGAGCGGGAGCAAACCAATAGTAACTTCCGCTCTGAGTTTTACACCCGCGCTCAAAAACAACAAGAATGGGAGTGGTGCAGGAGCGGGAGTCATTCTGAATGGGAGCGGGATGGGAGTGGGAGTAATTTCACCAGGAGTGGGACGGGACAGGATTTAGATTTCTACTCTGGCCCGGGATCGGGACGGGACACCATTTTTTTCTGTGGGAGTGGGACAGGACAGGAGTGAAAATCCACTCCCGTGTCAGTCTCTACCCAAAGGCAACAGAAGCAAAGTCCAAAAACAACAATACTGAAAACCAAGTGAGGAAGACATCATGGAAAGCAAACATGGGAGCAAAGAAACTATAAGGAACAATATTTTCTATCTAACACTATTTTCTATCTGCAGATTGTGAATGAATGAAGCCATATACTTTATGCTGTCTGTTCATTTCACTTTAAAAATGTTTGAGTTGCTTTTTTTCTAACATGCAACATATTTAAGCTCATGACTTTTTCCAATGAGAAAAACAACAAACGCTCCAAAAACGACAGAATCATCCACTGAATAAAGATTTACTACATTAACATTTCTCAGTGAATCTATTTCCTCTACTTTCTATCTGCTGATGAAGGTTCTCAGTCATCCAGGTCAGAGTCATTCCGTAAAAATTCAAAAAATATCCACTGGACTTGGTTTCCAAGATTTGAAGACGTTTCACTTCCTCTCCAGGAAGCTTTCTCAATTCAAATGTCTGGATCTGCTTTAAGTTTTAGTCTTATATAGACAAAGCCTGGTATCGCTTGGAAACATGCAAATGGAAACCGATGAGCGGATCGTTTGGATCCATCAGATATTACAGGCTAACAATGGAACCAAACAACCCATTCATTGGTTACCATTTGCATGTTTCCAAGCGATACCAGGCCTTGTCTATATAAGACTAAAACTCACTGTGGATCCAGACATTTGAATTGAGAAAGCTTCCTGGAGAGGAAGTGAAACGTCTTCAAATCTTGGAAACCAAGTCCAGTGGATATTTTTTTTAATTTTTACGGAATCCTCTACTTTCTATTTCCTCTACTTTCTATTTTCTAACCTTAGACCCAATGTCAGTGTCTAACTCAGTCAATGTCTTCCAGTCAGTCTGAGATAGCCAGACTAAAGTTAGTCTGCAGACTAAACTATAGGATCCATCGGCTATAGATGGATTTATTGTGACTGGGAAATGACCTGAGGATCGTCAACAAAAACTGATTGTTGTTGCAGTCAAATGTTGCACAGGGAGCATTTTATGGTGCGTCTCTGTGGCTTAATGTTTTTTGGGCAATCAGCCATCCAGTTAATAGACAGTGATCAGTGATTTACAGGCCATCATCCATTCAGGAAACAAAGCTTTACCAAAGGTCTAGTTTAACTCAGTTTCCTTATGATTAATGATTTAACTTTACTGTCCCAGATTGGAGAAATTCCCTCTCTGCATTTAACCCCTCCCCTTGGGGAGCAGTGGGCTGCCATTGTGTGGCGTGTGGGGAGCAGGGTGGGGTTAAGGGTCTGGCTCAGGGACCCAGAGTGGCAGTCTGTGGGAATCGAACCTTGAACTTGCAACCTTCTCAGAGCACAAGCTGCTCTAACCACTAGGCCATCACTCCCTAAAATAATCTCTTTTAAAGGAGAAGCTCCAGCTGGAAGGTCTTTATACTGGTTTCCAGTGAGCTAGACCAGAGTTAAACAGGCTGCACTGGTTTGAGGTGGAGAACAGACACGAATCAAAGATGAAATAGTTTCAGGTTTTAGAGTCTGAGTCATCCTCAGCTGCTGTTTTTTGTCTGGAACGATTACATCAAAACTCTTTGAACGTCACAGAATCAGCTGTTTTGTTCAAACCCTGAAGAACCAGTAAATCCACCATGGTGGGAAACAATGAAGAACCATTAAATCCACCATGGTGGGAAACAATGAAGGATCGTCAATGACAAGTCTTCAGAAAATGCTCAGATATCATCTTTTTCCTTCTTGTCTACATTTTTTTTTATTTACTGTAAATACAGTCACAGTTCACAGAATGTTGCGAAAGGAGAACAGAGGATGGAAAGGATGACCTCATCATTTCCTTTTACATGTATCGATTTAAGATTTCCGAGTTTCAGGCCTCAGAGCTTTAAGGCTATAACATTTTTGGAGTGTTAACGACTAGGAATACTTTTCCCATAAGCAGCCAGATTCCGGGTTTATCCATAACATGTTTCTGTCATTTGGTTTGACTGAAAACTTTCCACTGTCGGTAGTAAGTGAGACAAACACTGGCTAGATCAGCGCAGGTCTGAACATCATTCTGCCTCGTTCTCTTTTTACGTTGTGAAGGAAAATAAAATGCTGACTGAGTGAAATCCATCGATCTTCGTTTATTTACCTGGAGTCAATAGTTAAATACCTTTTCCCATGAGAGGGGCCAGGAGTATGGAGTCAGGGGCCCTTTGCTAGGGGCCATCCGGTCTCTCTCTCCTCTCCAGGGGGAGCAGGAGTTGGTTCCTCATCTAGTCAGCAGGGCTACCTTCTGGTACCGGTCCTGTTCAGAATCGTTATGGACTGGATTTGTAGGAGCAGCCAGAGACCAGAGGGGGGTCTGGCTCAGGGACCAGTGGATCTCATCCCTGCTTTCTGTGGTTGATGAGCTTCTGTTCTGCTTTGTTACTCTTCAGATTGGAGCAGAGCTCCAGCCTCCAGTATCCTGGACTCTTGTCCATCAGTGAGAGGAGACTTGATGGACACTCCTCGATGCTTCCTTCTGAGGGGTTCCAAGGATGTCCCACCGGGAGGTGGACTAAGAAGAGGACCAGGACACCATGGAGGGACTATGTATGGCAACATACTCCCATGTAAGTTAAGCTACTTCTGCGCATTGTTTATCTACCACAGCAGAACAAAATCGCACAAGCGTGAGAAACTGCCGCTCCGAGAAGAGAAAATCGCTCTTCTTCGCATGTGCTCTCAAAAGCGTCTCTGCCCTCGGGACTGATTTTCTCCCAGCACAAAGGAAAATGTATTTTGATAGGTTGGCGAAAGACAAACCTTTTCGGTAAGCATCCTCCAGATTGGGCCTTGCAAGGGGAATAGTGTCAGCAAGCCTCAGGAACAGGTTCACAGCTGAAAATGTTTCTATCCCATAAAGCAGATTCATTCCAGGATGACGTCCTTATAGTAGGATGAGTTCCGCCAGAGCTCAGATGACTTTTTGAAACTAGCTTCTCGCATCTTGTGCATTCATGTCCAACATATATCCTATCATAAAGTCTTATCTATCTAAACATCAGGATGAAGTTGTCCCATTTGGCAGGAGTGGTACAGATCAGATGCAGATGGCAACAGAAACACAACCAGAAGCAATAACAAGAAATGAAAACCAGGAAATGCCAGGAGGACACGCGAGGAGCAAAGTCATGTGGATAGAATTAGCTCAAAGGTAGCAGGTGTGCATAGAATTGGCTAAAAGGGAGCAGGTGTGGATAGAATTAGCTCAAAGGGAGCAGGTGTGGATAGAATTAGCTCAAAGGGAGCAGGTGTGGATAGAATTAGCTCAAAGGGAGCAGGTGTGGATAGAATTAGCTCAAAGGGAGCAGGTGTGGATAGAATTAGCTCAAAGGGAGCAGGTGTGGATAGAATTAGCTCAAAGGGAGCAGGTGTGGATAGAATTAGCTCAAAGGGAGCAGGTGTGCATAAAATTGGCTAAAAGGGAGCAGGTGTGGATAGAATTAGCTAAAAGGGAGCTGGGGGAAGGAGACTGGCAGAGAAAACACAACACTCCTTAAATACAACTAGAAGACAACTACAACGACACAAAATGAGAAATAAACCAATTACCAAGAAAACACAGAATGACATAATTCAAAGTGTAACTGAAAACTTAACATCATCTTAACTTAATATCATCATCATCATCATCATCATCATCATCATCATCATCATCATCATCATCATCATCATCATCATCATCATCATCATCATCATCATCATCATCACCACCACGTAAAAGCCATAATTTGCCAGCAGCTCAGTAGGACCTCCAGCCAAGCCTGCTATCCCTCCATCATTATCCAGATGTTCATGGACCAGCAGAGACGAGCTGCAGCTGTCAGCCTGATGGATCATCTCAGCTGACGCTCCTATCACACCTGGATTTAGACCAGTGTATGCCTGACCTATAAAAAATCTGCCGAAAACGCTGGCATGCGTTGGATAAGTTATGGGTACGTTTTTTTTTACAAGTTTTGAGCACGCTGAAGCACGCTGGCACATGGCGACATACGGCGAGTATGTTGAGGTGCCAGCATCAGCTATCAGTGGTCCATCAGTTCCAGGTCAGTTATCTGATGGTTGTCATCCGTTCAGTGTCAGTTCCTCATCAGTTATGGCGTCTAGCTGATCCTAAACCTCTGAGTAACTTGTGCATAACTTCTGCGTAACTTCTCTCCAACGCATATCAGCGTATCTGACATGTTCCAGACATGTGTTGTGCTACTTTTACAGTAGCCCAATAAAGCCTTGTTTTTGATTAGAAAAGACGCCCATTCCAAAGGGGGGGAGCCGTTCGTCCGTTTCAATTTGCATGTTTCTATTCAAAAACAAGGCTTTGTTTGTCGGCTCTATAAAACCTGGAACTAAACGCTATTTCTGACATTTTGCATTGAAAAAGCTTCCTGGATGGGAAGAGAAACGTCTTCAAACTTGGAAACAAAGTCCAGTAGATTGTTTTTTGACTGGAATGACTCTGACCTATGTCAGACTCTATAACCTGCCCATGTCATTTACACTGCTCTATTTGCACTACCTTATAAGATGCTATTTTACTTTTTATTTTACTTTTTATATTTTATATCCATATTTTTATCCTAAGTGTATATATTAGTCTATTTTATTGCATGCCTTATTCCCACAGTGTTTTAGATATTTTTATAATTTTATTTACCTATTCCATATTATATGTTTCATATTTTCACGATTGTACCATAAAAAATCCCTAGTTTGTGAACTCCTTCACTAACAATGGCAATAAACCCGATTCTGAAATTCTGAATTCTGACCTGGATGACTGTTACCAAGAACAATGTACCTGACAAAACCAGTTGGGGAGAGGTTAAGAAATAGAACACAACTTAAACATCCTGTTTTATCTTAGGGCTATAATTTCCAGGTGAGTCAGCTGCAGGTGGAAAAGGTCACTAAGCAAGAATGTTCCTTCATCACTCTGTAGAAAATGTTCTCAGTCTGGTTCAGTGACTTTACACACATTTAGTTATTAAAATGTTTTTAAATTCCATGGCTATAAAACATTAAGATTAATTAGGTCAAGTTTGCTCTACACTATAAAGGCTGAACTAAATCTCCACCCTAAAGGGTTCCAAACATCATCCAGGTTGACTTTCTGACTTTTCTAACAGGTGTTCCGGCTGACAGGCAGTGCACAGCGAGGCTGACATGAAACCGACTCTAAGAAGGCAGAACTATGAGCAGATGGAAGGAACATCTGCTCTGAATGTTTCAGTTACTTCCTGGCAGATTAGAGCGTTTTAATGGCCCAAATTAGGTCTTTTTATTTTATTTGTTATTTTTATCTTTGCTACTGCTAGCAAACAGGTGGGATTAACCTGCTTTAATGTAGCTGATTAAAGTGATTCTTCATTTTCATGGATCGATTTTACCAAAATCATCAAAATCACCAAAATCATTTCTTAGAGTAAAAAAAACAAACATTAAAACATTCAAATCTGAATCCAACCCTGTTAAAGTCCAGGGACCATCATCATCATCATCATCATCATCATCTGAACCTCCTGACTGAAGATGAGATGCTCTGTAGCTGATCCATAATGCTCAAAGACGGAGAGAAGCTCTGACCCTCCTGGTTCTGCTGAGAATCACCCTGATAGGTCAGACCAGGCTTTACTTCTTGCCAGAGATGGTCAACAGGTCGTCTCCATGTCATGTGTTGGTTCTTCTCAGCGACTGAACCAGGTGAGTCCGATCCACCCAATTGACCCTGCAGATTGGACTCACCTGGTTCAGTGGCTGAGAAGAACCAACTCATGACATGGAGACGACCTGTTTACTCCAGATCCCCCACCTCTGCCTCTGGCTCTTGTGTCATGGTGACATCAGGACAGTTTAGTTTGCTAATAATCTTCTCTGCCAATAAGACTGGATTTAATTTCTATATAACTGTAGCACAGCCAGATGAGACAGGAAGAACCTGGAATCAAACCCTCAACCTACGGTGAGACACCCCTCTAGCCTGTGAATGTACCGATTGTTAGACCTCCCTCTGAGACCTCTGCCCTCTGTGCCTTTAGATTTAAAGAGGTAGAAAGTGAGACTCACCTGTAGCCCAGAGAACCAGCAGCAGAAGCAGGACTCTGACTGGGACCAGTTTGACCATCATGATGTTTCTGAAGCTCAGCTGTTGACTGAATGAGGAAGAGTTGTTCTGAACTAACCTGTCCGTTCTGCTCTCCCCACTAAACAACGCCCCACACACTGTGTCCTCCCCCCTCCCTCTGCAGAGCCAAACATACGTTCACAGTGACATGCAGTGACTTGAAGTTAATTAGTAGCTTTTAAACTGAACCTTTTACCTCCTATAAACTGCAGCTACCTGCTAACATGGTGGAGACTCTTTAATGACTTTATTTTGCCCAAAACAGAGCTGCTGTCTTCAGCCATAACTCAGACCAACAGCTGCCATGGCTCCACCCCAACCACCACAGAGCGCTTTCTGCATGAAACTCCCTCAGCAGAAACCCGCTATAATAGGAAACCAGTCAGAAGCTACAGATTTTCATTTACATTTGACATAATTCCAGAAGTGATGAGACGTGCTTCCCTAAAGCCATGGAAAATTCAGGAATCTTCTGACACATAATTGTTTGGATGTTTGTAAAGCAAAAGTTACAAGACTGATCATCTTTTTTTCTAGAATATGACTGAAATTTTGTTTTAGTTAAAGCTTTGTTTAGTTTTGGGCTAAACTAAATAATTAGGTTAGTTTCCTTCATCCAAATTTCAAAGCAAGAAAAACCTCTTCTTATTGTAACTTTGTATCGTCCACCAGGTCCTTCCTCTGAATTTTTAGATGAGTTTTCAGAGTTCCTTTCTGATTTGGTATTAAATACTGACAGGGTCATCATAGTGGGAGATTTTAACATCCATGCTGACATTGAAGGCGATAGCTTAAGAGCAGCCTTTAATGCTATCTTAGACACTATTAGCTTTGTTCAAAATGTGAATAGTCCCATACATTCTCATCTTCATACTTTGGATCTTGTGCTGACATACGGCATAGAATGAGAAGAAATAACAGTATTTCCTCACAACCCTGTCCTCTCTGACCACTTTCTAATAACCTTCAGGACTATTTAACAGAGTTCTCCTCCCCCAAAAGAAGGTTTCACTTTAGCAGATAAACAGAAACCTGGATGACTCTTAACTTTCTCCTTCTGAATGCAGAAAAAACAGAAGGCAAGGCAAGGCAAATTTATTTGTATAGCACAATTCAGTACAAAGACAATGCAAAGTGCTTTACATGATTAAAATACAGGAAGATAAAACAGAAAAATAAAAAAATAGAAAATAAAAAATAAATAAAAATAAAAAATGCAGAAACAAAAAAAGAATATTAAAAACAGTTGGACTAAAAAATATATGTTTTAGTTGAACTGTTTAACTAGAACAGTGGAAGGCAATCCTAAACAAATGTGTCTTTAGTCTTGATTTAAAGGAATTCAGGCTTTCTGCACTTTTCCAGTTTTCTGGAAGTTTGTTCCAGATAAGTGGAGCATAGGAACTAAATGCTGCTTCTCCATGTTTAGTTCTGGTTCTAGGTATGCAGAGCAGGCTGGAGCCAGAAGACCTGAGTGGTCTGGAGGGTTGATACACTGATAGCAAGTCTGTGATGTATTTAGGTGCTAAGCCATTCAGAGCTTTATAGACTAGCAGAAGTATTTTAAAGTCTATTCTCTGAGATACAGGGAGCCAGTGGAAGGACTTTAGAACCGGGGTGATGTGCTCTACTTTCTTAGTCTTAGTGAGGACACGGGCAGCAGCGTTCTGGATCAGCTGCAGCTGTCTGATCCACTTTTTAGGCAGACCTGTGAAAACACCGTTGCAGCGATCAATTCGACTAAAAATAAACGCATGGATTAGTTTTTCCAGATCATGCTGAGACATTAGTCCTTTAATCCTGGAAATGTTCTTCAGGTGATAGAAAGCCGACCTTGTAATTGTCTTTAAATGCTTTTGGAGGTTCAAGTCTGAATCCAGCACTACACCTAGACTTCGGGCCTGATCAGTGGTTACTAGCTGAAGCCACTGAAGCTGTGTGCTAACTTTAGATCTCTCCTCTATTGGTCCAAAGATTATTACTTCAGTTTGGTTTTTATTCAGTTGAAGAAGATTATGGCACATCCAGGCATTGATTTCTTCTAAGCATTTCCTCAGTGCTTGAATTGGTTCATAGTCACCTGGTGACATGGTGATGTAAAGCTGTGTGTCGTCTGCATAGTTATGGTAGCTGATGCTGTTGTTTTTTATTAACTGAGCCAGAGGGAGCATGTAGATATTGAATAGGAGGGGACCCAGGATGGACCCTTGGGGAACCCCACATGTGATTTTTGTCATCTCTGATGTAAAGTTGCCTACTGATACAAAAAAGGCCCTGTCCTTTAAGTATGATTTAAACCAGTTGAGAGCTTACCAGAGAGGCCGACCCAGTTTTCCAGGCGTTCTAACAGGATGGAGTGATCAACAGTATCGAATGCTGCACTGAGGTCCAATAGAACCAGCACTGTGCTTCTTCCCCAGTCTGTATTTATACGGATGTCATTAAACACCTTGATAAGGGCGGTCTCTGTACTGTGGTGAGCACGGAAACCTGACTGGAACACGTCAAAGCGGCTGGTCAGATCTAAGAAAGTGTTTAATTGTTGAAACACTGCTTTTTCAATAATCGTACTGATAAAGGGGAGGTTTGATATGGGCCTGTAGTTCTGGAGTAGTAGTTTGTCTAAACTGTTCAGAAATTATAGTCTTTGGACCAGCATCTTTGAAAAAGAAGCTTATTAGTCAGTCACTTCATTTGGATGGGATTAAACTGATTTCAGATAATAAAGTAAAAAATCTTGGTGTTGTTTTTGATCAGGACCTGTCATTTAAATCCCAGATCAAAGAGGTTTCTAGAATTTCCTTCTTTCATCTGAGGAATATTGCAAAAATGAGCAATCTCCTGTCCAGGGGTGATGCTAAGAAACTAGTCCATGCATTTGTTACTTCAAGGCTGGACTATTGTAATTCTTTACTATCAGGAAGTCCACAAACTGTAGTTAAAAGCCTTCAGCTGATCCAAAATGCTGCAGCCAGAGTTCTGATGAAAATGAAAAAGAGAGATCATATCTCTCCTATCCTGGCTTCTCTTCATTGGCTTCCTGTTAAATCAAGAATAGAATTTAAAATCCTCCTTCTCACATATAAAGCCTTAAATGGCCAAGCTCCATCTGATATCAGAGATCTGATTGTTCCTTATGTTCCTAACAGAGCACTTCGCTCTCAATCTGCAGGTTTACTAGTGGTTCCTAGAATTTCTAAAAGTAGAATGGGAGGCAGATCTTTTAGTTCTCAGGTTCCTCTCCTGTGGAACCAACTACCAGTTTTAGTCCGTGAGGCAGACACCCTGTCTACTTTTAAGGCTAGGCTTAAAACTTTCCTTTTTGATAAAGCTTCTAGTTAGAGTGGCTCAGGTTATCCTGATCTATCTCTACAGTTATGCTGCTATAGGCTTAGACTGCTGGAGGACATAGGGACCCCTTTTTTATCATTCTGCTTCATTCTATCTCTATTCTCCCACTCTGCAGAATCTGTTAGGTCAATCTCTAACGTTCTGCTCTCTCTGCTTTTTCTCATAGTAGCTTCATCTGGTCTGTTCCTGTTTGGCTGTGACTCCATCCTGGAGAGAAATATCAGCTGTGCTGCTGCCATCAACACCTTTGTTTCTAGATGTTGGAGCTTGGCCTGTTTTCCAGTGTAGCCCTGTTTCTCTGACTGTGACTAACTGGATGTGCTCTCTTCATCCTCTGACATGGGAGCTGGCTCGGAGCTCGTCTGCCTGGCTGTGTGTTTCCTGGACGGGGCCGCCTGTGGAGCTGGTTGCCTTTTGTATCTATGCTTCTTTTTCTATGTCTGCTTCTGTCTCCTTGAACCCCAGTGGGCCTCAGCAGATGGCCGCTCACACTGAGCCTGGTTCTGCTGGAGGTTTCTTCCTGTTCAAAGGGAGTTTTTCTTCTCCACTGTCGCTACAAGCATGCTTAGTGTGAGGGATTGCTGAAGAGTCAATGAGTCGATGCAATCAGCTGGTTTTTCTTAGATAGGAAAGTTTGAATCTATCTGACTGGATGATCTGGTTGCGATGGCGATCAACGTTTCTGGAATTTCAGCTTGACTCACTGAAACCCAGATGTCAATCATGTGGGTGGGGCTGCTGGGGCCTCTAACCTCCGACCTTCTGAGACAGAAAAAGATCAGTTTAAAGATAAAACAAAGAAAAGTTTCCAACTTAACATTCATGTTTCCTTCATATCTGCTGCTGAGTCATTCTGAAGTGAACTGGTTAAACTGGGGAACTAAACAGCCCCACTACAGGAGGACCAGTCCTCAAGGACCGGAGCTGTCATTAAAGATCCAACAGGTTCTGACTCAAAGAGCCAATAGAGTTGGAGGCCCCATCATTGGCCTGATGGTTGGTTCCAGGACCAAGCCTCTCAGTCGGTGTCCAGCGGCACCGAACCTGTTGGTTGGGTAGATTAGGCCACGCCCACCAGACCAGGACTGACATCACAGATTCCAGGAGGATAAGAAGCGTTTCTCTGTATTCATGCTTGGATGCTGCTTGTCAGTTAACAGAAATGCTGCAGGTGTCGAGCTGAACTGCATCCCCCCCCCCCCCCCCCCCACCCACACACACACACACACACACACACACATACACACACACACCTGTCAGTGCAGTTTTCAGCTGCCACTATAGAGCTGGGCTGACACTAAAACAGAGGAACTGGATGCTGCAGTGATATCTCTGCTGATCTCCATATCTACACATGGAACATCTGACATAAACCATCACCATGGGTGTGGCAGTGGGGGAAACATGGACCCGACGCCCCATAAAGATCCTGTCTTTAGGAAGAGGCCCAGAGCCCGGAGCAGTATGCAGCAACGCAGCAACCAGCCTTGTCCTGCATACAGACGGCATCATTCGGACTCAGCCTTGAGTCAGCATCAGAACCACACCGTTACACCCTGTAGGTTTACGGTGCTGCAGAAAACCATTTACAGCTTTCAGTGGAGGGTCGGCCATATTGGTCTGACAGGTTGGGCTCCATTTGCAGGAGGAACTCTGTGGAAAGGGAAGCGGAGCTCATCGTTTCACTATAAATAACTGGATCTTCTCTATTTCTTCCTCTGACTGAAAACTGGCTCAGAGTTCGTCTG